ATTTTACCCTCTTGTACTTTTGCATATCTTATTTAACCTTTCTTGTAATTTTCTGAGGCACCAGTGTCAATGTAATCTCTCTCTGAGCCTGAGTTTTCTCATGTATAATGAGGACAACAGTATCCTGTTGTGTACGGATCTTGTAGGGTGATTGTAAAGATTCAGTGATTGAGCCCTGGCCAGTGTGATGCACTGGCAGTGTTTCCCAAAGTGTGATACGCGTACCCCCAGGGGTACGGGAAGAGTTTGGTGGGGGTACACATTGCACCGGAGTTTGGTGGGGATATGCACTACACCATGCTTAGCTGCGCCTAATTCTACGTTCTCATGGGTATGAGGGGTACTCAACGTTATGAAAATTATAGAAGGGGTACACATATGTCAAAAGTTTGGGAAGCACTGGGTTAGAGCACCAGCCTGCCCACCGAAAGGTCACAGGTTTGATTCCTGGTCAAGGACACATACCTGGATTGCAGGTTCAATCCCCCGATCCCTGGCCCCAGTTGGGGTGCATGAGGGAGACAACCAATTAATTGATGTTTCTCTCCTTCCCTCCTCCTTTCCCTCCCATCCACTCTTTCTAAAAATGGAAAAATTACCTGAGGTGAGGATTAAGAACAAAAAGATTCCGAGAAGGAATCTTCAATTACCAAGTGTGTTTGAGCCTCTGACTCATGGGCACATTATTAAAGTCACAGATGTCCCAGGACCTAGTCCCAGCCTATAGAATCAGAACCTCCAGGAATCTGAAGTTTCAGCAGTCAAATAACAGCAAAAAAGGCTGAGATATATTGAATCCTAATGGCATACCATGGGCATTAGTCACTTCATGTGAACTCATTCACTGTGAGTCCTCACAACAGCCCTAAAAGGCAAGTGAGGATTTAATCCCCACCTTAGAGATGAGGCTAAAGAGGCAGATTGAATAAGGAACTTGCCCAGTCACAGGCAAGGGGCAGAGCTGGGACTCCATTTCCTGCAGTCCATTCTTCCTGAGTACCTATCCTGGGCCAGACACGGATTTTGCCACCCGGGACACAATAAGGAACACTTTCCCCACACACACCCACAACTTGAGGCACAGCCTGGTACTCCAAAGGTCCTAGGTGTTAAAGTGGCCGGGACAAGGCCTGGCTTAATAAACGTTAGCTGCTGGCTTGCCCTCCACCAGGGCCTGGGCCTGCTCTGCTGCAGCCTTCCCAAGGTCAGAACAGAGGCTGGCCCTCCTCTCGGCCCCAGCTGCACATTCCCAGCCACCCCCAGCTGCACATTCCCAGCTGAAGGAAAGTTCACAGCCTGACTTGGGCTCCCAGCAGCGCCGGAATTCCCGGTATTTGAGGAGGCGTCAGGGAGGGAGAAAAGGCTGTCTACTCTAAGGCCTGGCGCAGGGAAAGAGGCAAGTGCCTTCCGCTCCTCCAGATGCATCCCAGCTGTGCCTCTGGGAGGCAGCCAGGAGCCTCAATGAGGTGGAGTGAAAGGTGGGTGTGTGTGTGTGTGTGTGGGGGGGGGGGGGGGCAGGGATCTCTGGATCCTGTGGGAAAACCACCAGCACCAGGCTTTAGTCCCTCCTGGTCCCTCGCCTAAATTCCATTCCTCCTGCCTGCCCAATTACATTTGTTTCATAGCCCAGCTCTGCAGGCTTAGAAAAATAGTTTGCCTGTTGTAAACTGATTTTAGAGCTTCTGCAAAATCAGGCTCAAAAAGGGAAGGGCAAGGGTTTGGCTGAATGGTTGAGCGTCAATCTATGAATCAGGAGGTCACGGTTCAATTCTCAGTCTGGGCACATGTCTGTGATGCAGCTCGATCCCCAGTGTGGGGTGTATAGGAGGCAGCTGATGAATGATTCTCTCATCATTGATGTTTTTATTTCTCCCTCTCTGAAATCAATACAAATATATTCTTTTTTATTTTATTTTATTTTATTTTTTTTATTTTTATTTTATTTTATTTTTTTAAAATATATTTTATTGATTTTATACAGAGAGGAAGGGAGAGAGATAGAGTCAGAAACATCGATGAGAGAGTCATCGATCAGCTGCCTCTTGCACACCCCCTACTGGGGATATGCCCGCAACCAAGGTACATGCCCCTGACCGGAATCGAACCCGGGACCCTTCAGTCCCCAAGCTGACGCTCTATCCATTGAGCCAAACCGGTCCCGGCCAAATATATTCTTTTTAAAAAAAAATATTTTTATTATTTTACAGAGAGGTAGAGGGATAGAAAGTTAGCATTGATGAGAAACATCGATCAGCTGCCTCCTGCACACCTCCCACTGGGGATGTGCCCACAACCAAGGTACATGCCCTTGACCGAAATAGAAACCGGGACTCTTGAGTCCGCAGACTGACGCTCTATCCACTGAGCCAAACCGGTTTCGGCACAAATATACTCTTTTTAAAAAAGGGAAAGGGGGGGCTAACCAGTTTGGCTCAGTGGATAGAGCAGTACCCTGTGAACTGAATGGTCCTGTGTTCGATTATAGTCAAGGCATGTATCTCGGTTGCAGGCTCAGTCCCTGAGGCACCAGGAAGCATGCGGGGGCAACCCCCTCCCCTCCCACTCTAAAAATCAGTGGAAAAATATCCTCTGTGAGGATTAACAGGAAACAAAGGAGTGGGGTTTGGCTGCTGCTTTCCTCGGGATATTGCCGTCTTCCTTGGGAGAGTTAGGTTAATGCCAATCAACTAAATTAACCCAGGTGAACTCCAGCTGCCATGCAAAAAGCTTGCTGAGCTGCGTTTTGCCACTGCGCTCATTTTCTCACGTGTGACAGTGCAATGCATTCCTCAGATACCACTGTTAGAGTTGCCTGCAGTCTTCAGTACAGAGACGTGCTGTATAGGTTTGCAGCCTAGGAGCTGTAGGGAACAGAAATCGCCACCTCACAATATACCTATTTGGCATGAGGATTATTTTAGGCTGGTTAATTCTAAGAAAAGGCAGATGTGGGAGCTCTGAAAATCAAGTAGAGGTTACCCTTTGTAGGACATTTACTTTTGTAAATGAGAAATCTCCATTGGTTACAGGTCTCCCTCACTGTACCAAGAGGGTGATGACCTCACCTAGAAACTCAGGATAGGACTTAACACCCAAACCCTTGTTCACTGTGATTTTCCTGAACTAGAACTGATCCCTCCCCACCCCAACCGGTGTCTTCAATCTTCACCTGAAGGTATCTAAGGTTGGCTTCAACTATATTACAAGGACTACCTCATGACAACAGCATTTTATAGGACCACCAACTTAGGGGGTTGATTGAGCACCAATTAGGTGCCAGGATTAACATCTTCACAACCATTTTGAATTGTTTTCCTGGGCCTCTTCCTTATATATAGGAGAAATACATTTTTTCTCCTGTTATGGTGATGTATTAGCCAAGAACCCAGAGGGTAGGGGAAACATTTTTCCTTCCCTACAGAACAGGCTGTGTAGTGGGCTGTACCACCTAGGTTTGTGTCTAGTACAGTTTGCACAACAAAAACACCTACCAATTCATTTATCAGAGCCTATCCCCATTGTTAAGCGGTGCATGACTTTGTTCATTCCCCGTCAGCTGTACATATACATGCACCATCACAAAGAATTTCCTTTTTGACAGTGGAAATGTTTATCACGTTGTAGCCCAATGGTAAGAAGTTACTGAGAGTAACTGGGACTGACTTCCCCAGGAGACAGTATTGACATCGTGGCTGAAACCAGATGATGGCCCTGTGGGTTTAGGATCCTTGCCCCCAGATCACTATCACCTAAGCTACAGATAAAACCCCTGCCCCAGCTGATCTGGCTGTGGATAGGGCTTTGGCCTGCCAATTGAACAGTTCAGGTCAAGAGCACATGCCCAGGTTGTGGGCTTGAACTCATAGGGGGCATGCAGGAGGCAGCTCATATTCCCACTTCCTAAAAATCAATAAAAATATATTAAAATTTCTTTTCCAGTTCAGCTATGCCCTTAGTTGCTGACTACAGGCTCCACCCAGAATGTCTTTGTATTCAAGTATACTAGAAGCCTGGCGCACAAAATTTGTGCATGGGGGTGGCGGTTGTGTCCCTCAACCCAGCCTGCACCCTCTCCAATCTGGGACCCTTGAGGGATGTCCAACTGTTGGTTTAGGCCCTACCCCTAGGACTGGGCCTAAATTGGCAGTCTGACACCCCTCTCACAATATGGAACCACTGGCTCCCAACTGCTCACCTGCCTGCCAGCCTTGGTCACCCTTAACTGTCCTCCCCTGATGGCCATCTTGTATCCACATGGGGGCAGCCATCTTATGTGTCAATTTACATATTTCTTTTATTAGATAGGACTGAAGTCTGGTGCACTGGGGCTCCCGGGCTGCAGCCATCTTGGTTAGGCTAATTTACACTCACTCAATTGACTGATGGGCATAGATGTATGGTCAATTTGCACATTACTTTTATTAGATAGGATATTTCCCATGCTCTTTCCTAAGGTGCTAACCAGCAGCAAAAGAATTGAAATAAAGACAAACCTATGCCGAAACCAGTTTGGCTCAATGGATAGAGCGTCGGGGTCTGCGGACTGGAGGGTCCCAGGTTCAATTCCAGTTAAGGGCATGTACATTGGTTGTGGGCACATCCCCAGTGGGGGGTGTGCAGGAGGTAGCTGGTTGATGTTTCTCTTGCATCGACATTTCTAGTTCTCTATCCCTCTCTCCTCCTCTCTGTAAAAAAAAAAACAAAAAAAAAAAAAAACCTTACACAACACATGGCCCCAACCTCCCCATCTCGGCTGTGTCAGCATACTCCACTCCACTGGGGTGCAGGGAAAGCCAGATCTGCTCCCAATCTACCTTCCCACCTATTCACACCAGAATGGTAGCTCATGGAAAGGCTTAAAATCCAGACCGGCAGTGGGCTTAGGTTGTTTCCTGTATTTTTCTTTTTTTTAAGCTAAAGAATACCACAAAAGATAGCACAATCCTCGAAACCTTAAATCCCACGACCATTGTTTATTATAAAGGTGAACCCAGATAAGCTCATCGGTAAGATTTCTGGTAGCGAGCACGGGCACCAGGACCACCAAACTTTTTGGATTCACAGCGACGAGGATCAGCTACCAGCAGGGTCCGGTCATACTGGATAAGGATGTCTTTGATTTCCTTCTTGGAAGCTTCATCCACATCTGGAGATAAGAAATGGGATAAAGATTTAGATGACCGCAGAAGCATATACCTACTCTCCAGGGCTACTCTAAATGCCAGAGCTAGTACTTGACTTGAGCGCTGATGGGAAGGATCCACTCACTCACATTTCTGGTAGTAGGCCACCAGGGCTTTGGAAATGGACTGACGGATTGCTGTGAGAAAAACACACAAAATAAGGTACATTAGTTTTAGAAGACCCAGGAGTAGGACCTCGCTCTGAGAGCGACCTCCCACTCAGGTTGCCCAGGTCCTGGGATTTACCATAAATCTGGGCCACATGACCACCACCCTTCACACGGACTCGGATGTCCACGCCAGCAAATCGCTCCTTCCCAAGAAGCAGAACAGGTTCCAGCAGCTGGAGGAACAGGGGGGATGATAGATTTTAGATCACAATCTGGGCAACTAAGCCACCTCATTGAGCATCCTTTTCTCTCTTCATGTAGCTTCTACCACCACTGGCCTCAGAGTACTAGTGGGAGAGGGAGGGATGAGCTATCACCACAGCCAGGAACAGGGAGGAATGGAAGATCAATGAGATTGTTCAAAGCAACCTAAGCAGGCAACCTCCCTGCATCTCAGATGCCCCATCTCAGACTTCTCTGGCTTTTAGTTCAATAAGGAAACCTTTACAGCTACCAAAGCTGCCTCAAACAGCAAAAGGCACTCTTGGGCTATATCAGGTGCCTTTTCTGGGTTCCCCACCCGAGTTTTCCATCCCCTCAGAGAAATCGCCACTATAACCTGTGCCACACACTCATTTTGCCAGGTATAAGTCTCTTGCATGTGCTTGGACACATTTATTTTACCTGCTTTAGGTATCAGATCCCAGGTCTCCCTTCAAACCACCCCCCCATCCTGCCCTGACCCACTCAGATGCCAGAATCCTTGCCTGGGTTCCCCCATCCCAGCTCCAAATACTCTGGAAGTAGTGTCAGGTATTAGATCCATTCTATTCCCCCAGTAGACTGACAGCTCTTTGAGGGCAGAGGCTGGAGCCTTCTGGGTCACTTATCTCCAGCACTCACAGGCTGTGGATAAAAGCCTTCAAATAAACTGACAGTCAAAAAGAGTAAACCACAATATGTAACGTCTGCTATACCAAGGATCTTAGACTCTACCTCTAAATTCTAACTAACCCCGAAACTAGGATGTTATTCTTTATATTTAAAATTAATAGCCTTAACCATTTGACTCAGTGGATGAGTATCAGCCTGCAGACTGAAAGGTCCCAGGTTTGATTCCGGTCAAGGGCATGTACCTTGGTTGCAGGTACATCCCCAGTAGGGAGTGTGCAAGAGGCAGCTGGTCGATGTTTCTCTCATCGATGTTTCTAACTCTCTATCCCTCTCCCTTCCTCTCTGTAAAAAAATCAATAAAACATTTAAAAAAAAATAAAAGTAATAGACTTAATGGGAGATATTCTAATTCCGTGGTTGGCAAACTGCAGCTTTCAAGCTACATGCGGCTCTTTGGCCTTTTGAGTGTGGCTCTTCCACAAAACACCACAGCCTGGGCAAGTCAATTTTGAAAAATCTGGCGCTCAAAAGAAATTTCAATCGTTGCACTGTCGATATTTGGTTCTGTTGACTAATGAGTTTGCCGACCACTGTTCTAACTTATCCTCACAACAGCCCTTTAAGGTAGAAATTATCTCCATTTTGCAGATGATGAACTCAACCAAGGAAGAGAAGTTATTTGCCTCAACATAGGCTGAGACAGAAATCACACGCCAATTTCAAAGAAACTGAGCCCCAAACAAAGAGAAGCCCTTTCTCAGCCAAGCAAAATAACCCCAAATTCCATTCCTGTTCTTTTAAATCTTACTGAGTCCCTACAAAGTCCAGAGTGGAAACTATTATCCTTCATTACTAAATGCAAGAAATCAGGTCGAAAAAACCTTGTGTCTTGTCATCTGGTCCCCAATTGAGTGGGCTTCCAAATATCCGTTTTCAAAACATCTCAATTTTCAACATTCACGTTTTTATTGGGACAATATCAGATAATAAAATTGTTTCAGGTGGCCGAAACCGGTTTGGCTCAGTGGATAGAGCGTCGGCCTGCGGACTGAAAGGTCCCAGGTTTGATTCCGGTCAAGGGCATGTACCTTGGTTGCAGGCACATCCCCAGTAGGGGGTGTGCAGGAGGCAGCTGATCGATGTTTCTCTCTCATCTGTATTTCTAACTCTCTCTCCCTCTCTGTTAAAAAAAAATCAATAAAATATATTCCTTCAATCACTATTTATTCTCCCCCCATCTTCTGTTTTCCCTCTAAACATTCATGTTTTCACTCACTGTAAGCTTTTATCACATCTTCCGTACCGCCAAAACCCACCACCCTCGCCAAATACCCCATTTTTCTGACCTCAATTCAACTACTAAACATCCCTGTTGATACCAGATTCCTCAGCTTCCAAGATCATTGAACTCCAGGAAACTGTTTATTTCAACATCTGTCCCAGGCCTCCCTTCAACCCAAACGCCCGCCCTCAGGGCCAGCACCTTGTATTGAAGCGTGCGCGGCTCGATCATCTCCAGGGGCCGTCCGTTCACCTTTATGAGGCCGTTGCCCCGTTTGCAGTGCGCCACGGCTGTGGCGGTCTTCTGCAGAAAGCGAGGGGAGAGACGAGAGCCACGTGAGATCAGGGTTCCGGCTCCCATGTAGGCCCCAGAAACCTGCCCATCGACCTCTTCCAGACCCCCGGTTCCCCGACCCCTCTCATCCGGCGCCCGGCTCACCTTGCGTCCGAAGACCTGCACAGACTGCAGAGGCCCCTTGGATGGCATGACTGCGGGCGTACAGCAGAGATGCTCACCGCGCGGCGCCGACACCGGAAAAGGGAAACGCAAGGCCACACGGGTGGCTTTACAGGATGTGCGCAGGCGCTTTGAGCACAGCGTCGCGACGAGAAGAAGCTTTACGGCTGCTGAGGTAGCCAGAGGGCGGGACTTCCGCTTGGCGGCCGGAAGGCACGTCTCAAGACCGGTGGGCGGGACCCGGGAGTGGAAGGGGCGGGGCCTGGAGGGTGTCGTGCAGCCTAAGGGTGAGGAGCACACGCCGTTCTCCACATCTTCAGCCCTCATTGGTCACAGCGGTTCTCATTTGCATCGGGTCTTTACTAACCTCCTTCCTACCCCAGCTAACTTTCCTACCCCAGCTAAGCCTCCAAGGAAAAGGTCTCTCTTAACCCTCCTCACTCGCAGACTTCCTCCTAAAGCCTCCTCCGCCAGAATCTTCCCTCCGGAACCAACAAGTCAGGCTGGATTTCCAGATGCAGGATTCAGAGTTCTACGCCCTGGAGCCCACCTTTCCCCTGGGTCTTCTCTTTCCCGAGTCCTCTCAGAAGTCCACTGCTGTACCTGTCACTTGGGGTCCCTTACTCTGGATTCCTTTCCCTTAATTTCCCTCCACTCAATGGCTTTCTCTCCAATCGTTCCCCCCACAATCTTCTCAGAACCAACTACCCCTAGTATCCCCTCCTCCGGAATCTCCCTTTCCCCCTAATACATCTTTTCTAGGACCACCCCCCTAGAATCTCCTTTCACAAAATCTTCCTTTCTTTCGGAGCCCTCTCCCTCAAAATCGACCATCCTTAAGAATTTATTTTCTTTCAGAGCCTCCTTTCCCCAGCAACTGTCATCCTTGGAATTGCTCTTCCAGAATCCTCCATTCCTTAGAGACCTGCCTCCAGAATCTCCCTCTCAGGCTCCTAACCTGGAGTCCCTACTATCCCCTCCATCATCTCCACATTCTCTGTCCCCGGGCCCCTCTCCGCAGAATGCCTCCGTGCCCCCACCCCTTCCCATCTGAGCTACCTCAGGAGTGCCTTGTTCCCCCACTCAGGATGCTCCCTTCCCAGCCAGGAGGCTCCGCTTTAGGCTGTAGGGAGGGAGCCCACTGTTGCCTCAGTTTCTCTGGCAGCTCTGGGTCTGGGGGCCAAGGTTCAAAGGTGTGTGGTAATTCACCTTTTGCCTGGAGGCCTGATATGAGGAGGAGGTTGGTGGGCCTAGAGTCCAGCACCAAAAGGATGAGAGAGCCAGAGGGAAAGGGGGAGGGAGGAAGGGAGTGCCCTGGAGGGACACAGACATAACAGCCCAAGAGAGAGATGGGGACACTTGGAACAAAAAGACAAAGGGGCCAAGGGAGAAGAGGAGGAGAAAGGAGACACCGGTCAGTCAGAAAATACAAAGCGATGGAGAATCAGAGTCAGAGGCCAAACCCTTAGAGAAAGAGACAGACAGGGACAGGCAGGCACAGAGATTCAACATATGTGGGACAAGTAGAAGTAGAAAGGAGAGCCGAGACCGGTTTGGCTCAATGGATAGAGTGTCGGCTTGAAGACTGAAGGGTCCCGGGTTCAATTCCAGTCAAGGGCATGTACCTTGGTTGCGGGCATATCCCCAGTAGGGGGTGTGCAAGAGGCAGCTGATCGATGACTCTCTCTCATCGATGTTTCTAACTCTCTATCTCTCTCCCTTCTTCTCTGTACAAAATCAATAAAATACATTAAAAAAAAAGAAGTAGAAAGGAGAGCAAAGACCCCCGTTAGGTACCTTCAGACACTGATAAGGCCTAACACAGTGTCGCCCAATGAGAAGACAGCCAAAAGCTGCACACACACACACACCACATTCTACTATCTTATGGGCTCGTTTGGGAGAGGAGGAGGCTTCCAAACTCTCCAGGCTGATCCTCATGTACTAATCAAGCCTCCTATCTGTCTGACAGATAGGAGGCTTGATTAGTACATCGCTTTGTATTTTCTTGAAGTAAATGTCTTTCTGCAGAAGTGCCAATAGGCATTTTATACATGAAATCTTATTTTTTTTATTTTTTAAAAATATGCTCTTGTTTATTTCAGAGAGGAAGGGAGAGGGAGAGATAGAAAGGAACATCAGTGATGTGAAAGAATCATGGAGCAGCTGTCTCCTGCACGCCTCATACTGGTGATTGAGCCCACAACCCAGGCATGTGCCCTGACCGGGAATCAAGTCCACAGGCTGATGCTCTACGCATTGAGTCAAACCAGCCAGGGCGTGAAATCTTATTTTAATCCTTACCCAAGGATATGTTTTTATTGATTTTTTTAGAGAAGAGGGGGAGGAGTGAGAGAGGGAGAGAGAGAGAGGAAAAGAGAAAGAAAGAATGGAAGCATGAAATATCATTTTAAAGAGTTGCTGTATGAAGAAAGCAAGCTTACAGAAAGGGCATCATTTCTTTAGGGTGCCGAGACCCTTCCCAATCTGTTTTGGGTTCAATTTGGGGGATTGTTGGATTGGGGAGTTTGTACTTATGCAGAGATACACCAGATATTTTGACTCTGGTAATTGCTTTGTGTGCCTGCTGCCAGCCCAACAGCACTCCATTGCCCTGTAACTAACGAGATGTACAGTAAATTTCTGTAAATTGAATCCATGCTTATCAATTAGCAATGTGTTCTGAAAGCTTCAAACGTTTTTTTGCCATCAGGTTAATTTTTCATATCTCTCCCTCATACCTGGTTCTCTTTGACACCTCTCTGATGAATAATTATTGGACTAATACATAAATTCACATTTAATCAACTTAGGGACACTGCAAACAAAATCACGGGCATTGAAGTCACCCAAGCATGGTGGGTCTGCAACTTTCCTGTTAATTTTTCTTATTTCAGTTTTCTCGTCTTGCAAAATGGGGCTGCCTACCTCCTAGGAATGTTTTAGAGGGTCCATGAGATAACGTATACTTTATTTGATAATTTGTTATTATTTTTTGCTAATTCCCGCCTTCTTACGCATGGCACGCCGCGTTGGAGGTCTGGACGACATTCTGGGCTGGAAAAGTCCGGGTCCCAGCCGGAGTAATTGACCTCTTATTTGCCTCTCCCAAGATGTCGGCTCCAGCTGCCACGTTCGGACAGCTTTGCCACTCTCAAGATGGCACACCGGAAGTGCGTCATTAGGCATCAGCCCCCGAAATTTCGCGTTAGGCGAAGCCAACGAGCAGATTCTCGCGAGAGGTTACGTCAGTCCCATCCAGGCGTCGTGTGAACTGCAGCTGGTGCCGAAGGCGGAGGTGGGACCGGAGAGGTGTGGGGTAGGTTGGTTGGCGACCACGCTGGCCCGGGGGGCGCCGGGGTTAGGGAGATATAGAGCTCAGACTTAGGGACTCTGGAGGTGTAGCAGGGGGCGTAAGGAAGTTCCCTTTCGGCTTCACGGTTGCCAGAATGAGGCTGCCGGAAGTGCGCTAAGAGGCTTTTTTTTTTTTTTTTTCTCTTCGGGAAACAGACTCAAGGTGGGGTTCTGGATTGGGGGGTACGCTGAGCCCGCCGTCTTTTCCCTGCAAGAACAGAATATGTCGGACAGCGAGGACAGCAATTTCTCTGAAGAGGAGGACAGCGAGCGCAGCAGTGACGGCGAGGAGGCCGAGGTCTGTGGCTGGGACGCTGGGGGAGGCATTGAGGCGGGGACAGGATCTGGGCAGAAAGGCTCCTGTGCGAGATCAGCGAGGATCAAAATGAACTCTGTTTATGGGAGCTTTCAGGTTGTCAGGAGAGAGAGAGAAGTTGGCAAGCCCAAGTCAAGCAGAGCATCCCAAGGCCAGGGATGCCCCAGGTACGGTGGGATAACAAAATCTGGCATAAAGTAAGCACTCATTATTAGTTTTTATTTTTAGGCTTGCCAGTCATTCCAGAAAAATTTTTTAATTTCTAGTATGTGTAAAGCACAATTCTTTGCCCTGGGACTACACTAGTAAACAAAACAGATTTAAAAAATCTTTGTCCTTGTGAAAAAAACAACTTTGGCCATGTGAATGTAAATAAATATAATTGATGGGTAAATCATTTTGTAAGCTAGAAGGTATTCTGAAGTAGAGAGAAGGGGAATAGGAATCCTGGTTGCATTTTGAAGAGGGATTGTCAGGGTGAGTATGAGTGGGTGACTTTTGACAAAAGTCTTGTTGGAGTGGAGGTAGTAAGTCATGCTGTACGAAAAGTGTTCCAGTAAGAAGAAACAGCAAGTGCAAAGTTGGGGGCGCATCTGTGGTGTTCAGGAAATAACAAGAAGGCCAGTGGGCAGAATCAGAGTTCAACAATAAGAGAAATAAGAATCAGATGGGGTACATCAGTGGTCAGCAAACTCATTAGTTAACAGAGCCAAATATCAACAGTACCATTGAAATTTCTCTTGACATCGACCAGCTGCCTCTTGCACACCCCCAACGTACATGCCCCTGACCGGAATCGAACCTGGGACCTTTCAGTCCGCAGACCGACGCTCTACCGCTGAGCCAAACCGGTTTTGGCGAAATTTCTCTTGAGAGCCAAATTTTTAAAACTTCTTCTAATGCCACTTCTTCAAAATGGACTCACCCAGGCCGTGGTATTTTGTGGAAGAGCCACACTTAAGGGGCCAAAGAGCCGCATGTGGCTTGCGAGCCACCTTGAGTATAGGATCTTGAAGGCTGTGGTGAGGAACTTGGCCTTAACTGAGTGAGACAGAGCCCTGAGGGTTTTGAGCAAAGAAGGGATGTGATCTAATGTTTTGAAAGGATCAGCCTGTTTTTGGGTCTGTTGACTGTCCCGTTTCAGGAACTGTTAAACATTTCCTGGGACATAACTGAGTTCAGATATTCCGCTTATTAACAGTTATTCTCTTTTATTTCGTTTATTTCTGATTTACTCAATACTGATTTATTGAACAAATAAATGTTTGAGTATTTACACTGTTCCAGATACATCCTAGGTTTTGGAGAGAGAGTGGAACAAGGCAAATCTTTGCTTTCATGGAGTTTAGTAGGCAACAGT